AGTATATGACATAAAATTTTTTTTTTTTTTTTTTTTTTTTCTGTGTGAAGGAAGCATGAATTAGAACTAGTCTTGTTAAAAGTCATGAACTTAAAATGTATTAACCCATACATAGCCAAATAGTTTTGTAATATTCATTTTCACATTTTATTTTGGCCCATGCCAGAACATGAAAATCCAAAGAAGTCAATGCTAACAGTAAAGGGTACCATCTAAAGCCACTCAGATAGTTAAAGAAACCCTTACATAACACAGCTTTAAACCACCTTGCACAGACTATGCAAAAAAAGGTTCAAGCCAAAGGCAGCCTGCAAAGCAGTAATTGTAGAATCCACAGAAGTCAGTGGAAAAACATTAATAAGACTGTAAGAATACCAAGGCTTCACATTTACACTATTATCACCATCTTAATGTGGAAATTAGGCTAAGAACAATACAAGTTCTTAGAAATCAGTCTAATGTTAATGTCTTTGCACATCCTCCCAGCACAGAGAATTCTTTATTAACATGTACTTAACACTAATTGCTAATAAACTGTGTTCCCTTACTAACAAAGCTATCCTGGAGATGGAACCTGCCCTCTTTCAAAAAAAAAAGCAAACAGAGCAAGACTCTTTTATGTTTTCCTTGACTAGATTGCCATGCCACATCCCTCCTAGCTTGCCTTCGTACACTTGGCACATACATCTAAAACTTTTACAAAGTGTTGGAAAACACTTCCACAGTATTTGGGTAGCAGCTTCACAGACTCACATTTGCACCTGCTGCACATGCAGTGCAGAGCAGAAATGATTCAAAAATCTGTCATGACTGTTTGCCACAATTTCAGAAACTGAATTCTGACCAGTGACTTTGGATTTATTCCAGAACCTGCCAAATCTGCAGGACCAAAAAATTCACAATTCGCCCCAAACATGGGGATATTTTGCCCTCTTTGGGTTGCACCTATAGAATTCACAGAAGTCTATTTTCTCAGTGTAATGATACATTTCTAAAGCATAAAGGGGAACTCCTGAGGCATGTAAAGTGTGATGATTTCAATTAAATTCATGAAGCTATGGGGAATTTTAGCCAAAGCATTTGCCTATGCTGGCTCAAAATTTGCTGCTGAAGATGATTCCCTAAGAATGCATTTTCCACTGTCCAGCTGCTAGTTAAGAAGATTAATGACTGCTTTGTAGTTCCAATTAAACTCCTTTATCACCAAGAGGGACCAAACAAGTTTTGATTTCAAAAGTGCTGCTTAAGAAAGAAGACCAGGGCTGCATAACACTGACATTTTATTAGAATTCATTTGTAACAAATGGAACTTGTGTCAGCAAAGAACTGATTTTCATACAGACTTTCTTTTGCCACCAATGTAACGAAGTAAGAAAATAAAAAGCACGCCTTTCATTCTGTAAAACATTTATGCGTACTACTAATTAGAGGTAATTGTATATTTTTAACAAGCCATTTTACAAGGTAATTTTTTAAATTTTTCAGTCTATGCATCCAAAACAAGAGCAAAGAACACAATTTTTATTATCTTTGTAAAGACACTCCAAGCTTGAATGGCAAAGCCACATAACAGATGGTTATGATGAGACCTGCAGCCTTCTGATATCTGTGGAGTATCAGGGCACCAAGAAAAAAAAAAAAAGGAAAAAAAAAAGAAAAAAGGAAAATAAAATAAGAAAAAAGAAAAATAAAGAAAAACAGGAGAGAATAAAAGGAGAAAATAAAAGGAAAAAAAAACAGTTGTGGCTTTGTTTAGTTGTTGCAAATTTTTTTTTTCCTTTTTACATGTTCTGTGTCATTTAAATACACACAAGTGGATTTTATATGCAGTTTCTTACAGATGGGTTCAAGTTATAACATTATTGGGTGTAGAATCAATAGGGCAGTGCATAGTACAAAGGTATATATAGAAAGTGCAAATCTCCCTAGAGGGCCACTCCTTCCCCCCAGCCATCCTCTCTGCTATCTAACCACTCAAATAATTTATTTATTTATTTTAAAAAGAGCTAAATTAAGCTTCTGTATAAAACATTTTCATATATTTTGTGGGTTTCTTTCCCCATTGCAACTAATTACGAAATTAGACATAACTACACACACAAACGTAAATAATAGCACCATACTGGTTATGCTGATGAAACCAATTTTAAGCTTGAAAATGTATGATGTATGTAGACAAAGATGCCAACAATTTAACTTAACTGTAGAATGATTATATATATCAGAATACAGAAAGTGGAATGCACATCAATGATGCTAACAGTTATCTTAAGAAACATAAAACCTAACAGGAATATTTAGTTTTACAACAGTTTTCCTCACAAGTTGTCTCTACTTTTTATTTATTCGTTCGTTTTCTTTGCAGCTTCCAAGATAGTCTGCTAGGGAGAATGCTCCGATCCTTTTACAGATCCAGCGTGCAAGAATCTTTCCTAGTCTATGTTTCCAAAATGATCCTTTTTTCATTGTAGTGTTTTTCTGATGTCCTACATTTGAGTTGAAGAACTTGACCACACCACATAACCTGGCACTTCAATAATTATTTTAGAATACAAATCAAGAAGGAAGAAGAAAAAGAAACATAGTGCACATTCTCCTCTAGTTTAGATGTAAGTTATAGAAACTCATTCTGAGGTAGCCTTCCATGATACTTCTATTCCATATATATATTAATTTTATTTTTTTTCTTTACAAAAGTGCTCAAATACAATACTTGCTAGAGTTTGGTCTTTCATGTTTTTCTTTCTGCTCGTAGTGGGAAAAGTGGAAGAAGAAGAAAAAAAAGTTGAGGTCACATTGACAAGCCATACCAATGCTCCTATTTTAAACCCCAAAGAAAGAATTCCTTTGATGCTCATGTACTGACAATGACAGAGGCACGACGGAAACCAAGGTCAATGTAAATGGCATCTTACTATGAGTCTCAAAAAGTACTTTGTGCTGTTTACAGAATTTTCTTTGTTCCCTGGAAGAAAATCTAGTGCCAAATATATCCTGTGGGCTCAGTCTTGCTAGCCTTGCAGGAACCCTCCCACTGAAAGCAATGGTTTGACTTTAGCAATCTGTTGACACAAGTGAATGAGCAGGACTTGGCCCCCCCCCAAAAAAAAACGTGCATTAGCACTGATAATGTCAACTACTGCTCATGTACTGCTACATCTCTGCAATGTTAACACTATAACCAGTGACACAGTGGATTTGAAAAGCCAACGAGAAATAGATTTTTAATATGTGGGCTGGTCTGTTATTGGAAATATGGAAAGATAAAGGGCCTTGACTACCTATGTGTTTTGAGTTATCATTTATTACCATCCATACTTGATTAGAAACTGGAAATGCATATTTTTCAAAATTGTCTGATACATGTATTAAAATGTTTGAAAAGAATAACAGAGATGGACAAACTGAACTAAATACAAATGAAGGAAGGCTAACTTAAAAGAAATGCTCTTCAAAATAGGCATCAAATATAAGGCACTCTAAATGTAAAATTAAAATAAAACCCAGCATCCCCAAACAATGCTGTATGCCACAAAACATTTGATTTCACAGAGCAATATGTGTTTGGCTTTGCCCTGTTACATAAGATAAATGTAAATTATATAGCGCACACAATAGACAGTATACTATTGAATACAATTTTAAATCTTAATACCTAGTATATTACAACATTCTCCCCTCCTAAAGGGATATGCACTGACCTTTCCCACATGCACACCTCCTACATTTAATAATATTATTTCTTATTGCACTATAGTGTTATAAATATCGAACTCCACTGGAAGCCTAAATCACATACTCCGTGTGTGTGTGCATGTGTGTATGTGTGTTCAAGTAGCAATGTGGACAGAATTATTATTTGGGATAAAGATGATGTTCAAATATCAATGATGTGCATTCCTCATTTCCCTTTGAAACAGAAGTTTATGGACCTTGGAAATGCAGAGATGATCAAATAGTAGTTTAATACAATTGTATGCTGAAAAACTTTCCCAATGCTTTGATAAATCCAGTTATGGAAGAATTGATACGTTCATGTGTATGTCTGTGAATATCCACCTATCTGTGTCTCTGTAAGTATACAGAGAATTAGACAAGGGTAGACAGTAATACATACATATACTTACATATATAGAAAGAGAGAGGGTGTGGGTGTGCACGTGCATATATGTGCATGTGTGTGTGTGTGTTAGCAGCATCTTTATACTTTGCGCCTCCCTGTTGATTCCAAAAGAAACCAAAAAGCCCCATTTTGATTTATCTGATTACAATGATATTTTCTCAAAGAAAAATCAAACAAACAAAACTGTAAAAGTAATATCTAACAAGACTGTGGTACTGTAGATAAATACAGGACTGCACAAAAATGTGCAAATTTTCAAATTATTTAACATTTCTACAGCACTATATTGCAGATAACAGTTCTACAGCTTAAAAAAAAAATCTACGGTCTTTAAACAAAAAGATTAACAGTTATGCAACCTTTTCTTTAATTCACTTAATTGAATGATAAACTCTTGTTAAAAAAAGGAAAAAGTTTACACAGTTAAAAATGAAGCACAGGTCAGCAGTATCTTTACAATACTAAAAAACTAAATCAAGGACTTTCTTTTTAAGCATTCCCACATTTTCCCTAAAGTGTTATGATGAGCAGTATGATGGGAAGGGGAGATGCTGACGTAAAGAGTTCACTTTGTTTGAGAAGCCAGGACCCAACCTTTTAACAAACATCTTGCAGTGCACTGCAGTTCTCTCAAAATTCCTCTTTGCAAAAGTATGCAATCCTGAACAAGATGATCACTCCTTCTGATTAGTTTCCTCTTCCCTTTAACTTCAACCAATGTTGAACCCTTGAGGTATCTGTAAATGAGATCCTTCAGACACCTCAGTGGTCAGGACTCCTTTATTACGGTTAGGTTATTAAACTGTGAATTCTTGGTCCACATGGAATAGGGGTTTCTTTGTTGTTTTTGTTTTAAATATCCCCACTATGTTTGTTCATTTGTTTTTTATTTTATATATCCCCAATAATCGCTCCTTAGCTGAGAGTTAAGAAGTACTTCTAAAGCACTCGTATGGCTCAGAAGCGGCTCTCCGGATCTTAAAGGGCCTGCAATAAAAATCCACAATGGGTTTTTATGTTGCATAGTGATCAAAGCTGCCCAGATATTCCAGTGCGGCTCGATAGCAGAACTGGTATTGATCCTGGAGAAAGAAAGATAGAAAACAAAAGCATCAAAAAGACAGCTTGTTGGTTGGTTTCTCTTTTCTTCCAGCTAAGAGTGAATACTTTGTGGCTACAGACAAATATACCACAGAGGCATCTGCAGTTCAGCAATATTCTCTTGCTGACATCAACAGAAAACAAGTCTGAGTTACAACAGATGAAGACAGACACTCATTTAATGCAATAACATTTTCCACAGAATGCAGGTTCTTGTTGTGCAGAGACTTAATACTCACCTACAGATCATTTCTTACTCTGAATCCATATAACATCAGCATAAAGCTTTCTTCTTATGGAAGCATGCTAAGACACTTTCCCCCCACATATTTGAAAATAAGTAGCAGAATATCCAACCAATTCTATAGCAAATACAACAGACTAAGTGACAAAATCCATCACAGCATTGATATGGAAAGCTGTATGGAAAACCACCAGCTTAAAAATCACGTTAAGGAAGCAAAGAGAATCCCAACCTTTCAGTAACACAGGCTTTGATGAAGATGTGAAGATAGCTTAGCCTGTGGCAAGAAAAGGGCCTAAGAGAGAAATACACAGGTAAAGCACCTTATTAACAGGAAACGGGTTGCATTTCAGCCTACACCTGGAAGCAGAGAAAAGTTCAGTGTAGCGAGAGATTTGCTTATACCTCTGATGAATTCAACATCTGGCATATCATGGTATTCTCACCCCCACACAGCAGTCCTTTTGCACATTCACATAATATTGTACACTTATACAAAAATGGCATGTGTGTACTCATTTGCAACTGCAACTCAGGGTTTAAATGTTAAAAAAGAAAAAAAAAATAAATTGCTTCTGAAAGCCATCCCAAATATCAAGAAGGTCTGCTTATTTATCTGATACTGCTATGTGGTAACCCCACACGGGTCACACTTTTTAAAACCACAACTAAAATGCTTTTGGAGAACAGGAGACTCGTCAGATATTTGCTTCAATGTATTGGCGTGATCACTAGCAGTTCTTTTCTGTTTCCTGTTGGAACAGTGGGAGAATGCATGAGACATATGCATAAATTTTAAGTGTATGTGTGGTCCACATGGAGTTCAAGTGCTTTGCTGAATAAGGACTAGACAACCTGGCAGTTTATACTACTGAATGGGAGACTCATTTTCCACAGAATCCTGAAAGAAATTACTACACAACACTTCTACTTTCATCAGAGGGCACGAAGGGCAGAATACAGATATAAATCAAAATAGGAGGAGGGAGAATATATTGCATAGCTGAACTCTGTATTTGTCAGGCAGGCTCCAAGAAGCATAGTTTTTCTGTATACTGTAGTAATTTCTTGGAGCCAAAATGACAGAAAGCAGTCATTTTTCATTTTGCTTATCCAGGAGAATGATGATAATGGAAAAGAAATGGAATTAACTCTTCAGTTTGGTCACAGTGATTTACTTGGCTAACTGACAAGACTAAATATAAGTATCTTTATTTTTCATGTAAGTTTTTCTGAATTTATCTTTGTAAAAATAAGACTACAAAGCTTTTATTGAACAAGTTTAATTTTCTTGTGGCACATGGCAAACTCTGGGGAACAATTTTAAATTTCACAGACTGTAATTTAAAGGCCAGTGTCAATCAAATTATACTAAATAAATGTATGACCTAAAGTGATTCCCTTCTATTGCCCTTTTGCTTGGTTCTCCTAGCCTATTTGCTCTGTCTTAGTTCAAATCTCCTGTTCAGAAAGTACACATAACTGAAAATGTTTAAGTATTCTTTATGACATGACACAGTTCCAAGCACCCAGGCCCAGGAAGGGATATTGCTTATCCCTTTCCTTATTTCTCTATAGCATTTTTACTAGCACAGTAATGATTTACACCACAGTTTTCCTGAACACTGAATTTACCATTATGATTTTCAGGCCAAACAGCCACTTGCTGGGTGACACAAAGTCGAGATAACCATGAAAATAATACACTGTCAGTCTGAAGCCAAGAACAACACTTTGCTCTTGGAAAAAAAAAAAAAAAAAAAAACAACAACAACAAAAAACAAACCCAAACAGTGGATCCACCTGCAGAAACAATTTGCCTCCTTTATTATCACACATTTCTGCCAGAAAACAAAAGTTCAAATAAAAATGGTTAATGCTTCTTGGAAAATGGTTTTCCTCAACTACCATAATTTAGGATCCACCACTGAAATGATTTTTTTTCTTCCCCCGCTTGCAGTATCTACTGCTGTAACAGGTCCTTGCAGTACCTTTATGGCAGATTTTACACTGCAGTCAGATAATCACTATATGACTTAAGATATAAATGTAAGCACACTTTATACAGTCTCTATCTGTGGATGTTTTGGCTGTGGAAATACACCTTCTTTTCCATCACCATTTTATATGGATACTGTTTTGCTCACCTCTGTCTGTACCATAGCAGGCCGCTGTGTCCTTAACATCTTGACAGTCTGGAAGATATCTACAACGCCTTCATATCTCATTCTTTCTAACACAATGCTCAGGGTTATGAATACTCCAGTTCTTCCAACACCCGCACTGTTGCAATAAAATAAAAAAAAAGGAAAAAAGGAATGTTAATTGACAGTCAATGCTGAAAGAACCGGCTGACAAATTATCTGTGGTTACAACACACCATATGTGTACAGATTCCTACATGAGGAAAGGTTCACTAAGCAAAATTCCACAGCAAACTACCACATTGCATTTGGAAGCATAGTTGTACTCAAGCAGTCTTCACATGCTATGAAGTACTTCCTGACTCTCCAGTCTTCATTGCAAAGTGACCTGGCTTGTTCATCCAGTGCATCGTGAAGGAAAATGAGAACATTTGTTGCCAATGACTTACGCTGGGACTGACAAGAGAAAAAGATGCCAAAATGTATTTCACTGCTTTACTTTAACTCGTTCACGTATATGCCCTGTTTTGGACACCTCCAGCGTGTTAGTTTACCTTCTACTTTGAGTTAGAGATAGTCAGTGGATTTTCAATTAACATTGAAATTGTTCATACACACTACAATTTAAATAATGCATACACAAAAACCTTAAGACATAGTTTTTATTCAAGTCTGGAAATTGATCCTTAGCTTTCCAATACTGAGATATGTACACCATATCTGTCTACATTAGTCTGAAATGTCTTCTTTGAATGTATGGCTTGTTTGCTCTCTGTTCTGTCTTAAGTTTCTATTATTAGCTAAAACCACCAAGAAGTGATAGAAATTCCTGTATTCAATAGAGCCAACAGTTGTCAGTTACTAAAATTAAACAATCACTTATTCATGAAAATGACTCTCTGACAAAGAGACAGTTAACTACACAGAAAAAATTTTTTTTTGAAAGTCTGAACTTGTATGGATGGAAATCAAGCACCCCATCATCTCACTGTTGATGCTAATAATTTCACAAGGTTTTCTCCAGATAGACCTGGGAAGCAGGAGATTTCTGAGACCTATTAACCAGACAGGAGAGTGGAAGAACACGAACAGCATGGAAAGACTGAAGAACTCTGAATGCTGATATGGACTATGACAGAGATCCAGAGAACTGGAACACAACTTGACAAAATATCATTCTCTCAGTGTTGGTTTACCTATATGTGATGACAAAGGTCCTGGACATCTAAAACAACTGGAGTGTAAGGTCTCCTTTCCCTGATGAGGTAAATTAGAAAGCTAATGTTTAAGAAACATGATGAAAAAATACTGGAAAAAATACCATCGGAACCTGCCTGGAGTTTATAGAGCTGACAACAGTGTGATCTAAACCATGTAGACCAGAAAGTGACCAGCAGAGTGAAGACAGATTACTATTTTCTGTTCTCCTTGGTCCTGCTCCTGCTTAACCATTTAAAGATATCCAACAAAAACGTATGATTTTCTAAATACATGTGAGGACTTCTAGTCGCAAACACCAGTCAAATCTTTATTACTTAAAAAAAAATTACTCAGAACTCTAATTCAGCAAAAGGAGGGAATTAATTTGTTGTCTTGTGGTCTGAAGAAATGAGAAAGTATCTGGGTAGCTACTCAATGAGGAAGACAGACTAATATGGAAAGATCTCAATGCTTGCAAAACCTAACTAGCCATCAAGTGTAACATTTTGGTAAAGTCTGTAGGAAATGGACTCTGTTCCCCTAAAAGTGGCAAGCATATTTTAACATTGTACTAATTTCTATTAAAAGATGCTAAGGATTTCTAAAGAGTGATGGAAGTCCACATCAGTACTGATGAGCACGAATGATCAGCTGCTAAGCATTTTAATGATCATCTGATTTCTTTCAGCACAAGCCAAGTAAACCGAGTTTTACCATACCATTCAACGAAGCAATGTAACAGGTTTTAAAGAAACCTGAATTTAGTAAATGGCGAAGGCACTACTTCATGATGTAATATTATTCACCAAAGTTTGAACAGTTAGAAACCAAAGTTAGGATGCTTTAATGAGCCATGAGGAAATATTGATGTTTTTGTACGGGAGGTTGCTGTTAAAAACACATCTTGAATGCATGCTGGCAAAGGGTGGTCTTCCTTACTCTCCAGCTAAAAGCTGAAGTAACAAGACTATAAATACCTAAAATAAATTGTAGTGAAAATTTCACTTCTAGGTGAACAATCCTTTGCTCTTTTAACTGTTGTTTAATTAAAGGCCTGATGAGGTTAGAAGTTTTTAAACTGTAACACACTGATGTATTTGTAAAAATGACAGAGAAAGAGGGCAGTTTAAAATTGTGGGTGGCAGAGGTTTACTGTGTAACAGAGAAAACAAACTTGTGAAAGACCTGTAGAGTGGGAATGAAACCACAGGGAAGTGGCACTAGGGCGGTTTGACATTTGAAGAATTTCTCTGTACAAAAGAAATCCTTAAAAACTCATCATGGTACAAACTGGAGTCATTATTACAATAATCCACAAAGACCAGGAAAGTGTAAGTACCCAGGATCTTGTGCTTCCTGAAAGAAACAAATAAACTTACTAATTTGCTAGGGACATTTCCTATGAATGTAACTTGATGAACATTGACAGCAATGATTAGCATTACTAATCTCTACATTGTTGTTAAAATGATTATAGGACATTTGAAGACCAAACCATGATGAATTATAATGGACTTGACTTTGTTTCTACCACAGTCAATGGCAGAAATCTCCATAATTTCAGTATGAAAGATCACACCCATTTGGAAGGGATGCAAAACCTACTGCAAGCATTCTTTCATTTAGGCCTCAAGTGGGCAGGTTTGCATGGTACAAAGAACTCAGAAGGATACCATCACTTTGCTTATGTATGTCTCCATAAAGGCATAAATATTGCTTATTAGCCCTCTGCTCTCAAAAGTCATTAATGTCAGGAAGAGTAAGGCTTGCTCTTAGTGCAATTTCCTTTATTTTCCCTTGCCAAATGAATCCCAAACCCTGCTCTGCAATGCTGTTCTCCTTAGCAGGCCATAAAAATTTTTGGGCACCCAAAAAAGGTAGGATTCAAGTAGTCCAATACATTTATTTTGTCAGTCTTTCAGATTAGGGGAGCATAAGGAACTCTGTTAAAACACACAGGTGTTTTAACAACTTCCGGTTGCTCCTGGCTTTAGAAGGACAAGAATCTCTCTCCCTCTGTATATTCATAGGCTCTAGTAAACTTGTTTATTTTGTCTTCATACTAGCACTGGGGTATTACTTGGCTTGCAGGAAGGACTTGGAACCTGTACCAGTGTTTTGATTCTCTGTTATGTAAATAATAACACTTTATCTACCAAAAAAATGATTTAATATTGCAAAAATGAGTTTCTAAAATCCTAATGGCATTTATAGAAAACAATTTATTAAATAAGAGATAAAAGATAAAGATATTGTTTTTCACCATCTGCTAGAGACTCTAGAATACTGTAGACAAAATAAATAAAAAATGTAAGAATATTAAAAAAGCCCACCATGGATTATTCCTACAAACCCTGCAAGCTGTTTTCATCTGCATACCAACTGTAAAGGAATTAAGAAAAGTCATCACATCAAAAAATAGACATTATATTCTGAAGTTAGAACTTCCCAATCCAAACCTGAATGATTATTTGACAGGCAAGGTTTCTAAACACTGCTTTCTATTCCATTCCCTTTCTTGCGAATAGCTACCATTTTTGTCTCATCTTGATTGTTACTAATGTGCTACTGAGGTGCCACTGACTTGTTTACAGCTAATAATTCCCACCAATGTAACAGCCTCACATTTAATTACCAGTGGAAAAAAAATATCAAATATAGTAGCCTGTGATAAGGCTCCTTCTACTGCCTTCTGTGTGAAGCATTGACCAGGTTGTTTTTATTCTCCACTGGAGACACTTTTAGGTGAAGCAAAAATCACGTGCTTCCATACTTCAGAAGAACCTTTTCTGTGTAAATGGGATATCACAGAACAGTTCCTGTTTCATAAAGTAGACCTGTGCTCCTTTTTAGATCTTCTATTTGATTACATTTCCTGACAGATCACCTATGAAATTCCATTTACACATATACCTTTGCTGCAATCAGCAATCAACTTTTTAAAAAAACAGATCTGGATATGAGTTATTTTGAGGCTTTGCTTACTTACCTGCAATGAACAGAAATTGGTCCATCCTGACCAAACTGCTCTTTTGTTTTATGCACTTGGCCTATGAAGTCAATAAATCCTTCTCCAGACTTTGGCACTCCTTGTTCTGGCCAGTCAGTGAACTGGAACTGCCTCACTGTGCGGGACTGGCCATCCTTTAACAAAAGACACAAATAATGTATCCCAAAAGCGTGTTCCAGTGGCTGGAAGCCAGTCAGCCAAGAACCAGAAAGACAATCACAAAACAAGAACACTGAGAGGAGGTGGGGAATGGCTAAGATCACGTTTATGAAGACTCTCTCAAACACAGTACTGGCTGGTGCTTTTGGACGCATTGGCTCAGAAATGCAGTTTCATTAACAACATTGCACAGATCCTCTCCTGCACTGGACAGGAGAGCTGTCTGACATTTTGTCTGTGTAAAAAGCATGTCTGAGGCTAAAGACATAACAGTTTCACCAGGTTATACACTTTTTTTTTGTAAGTTATGTTTTGAACCCTGTGGACTGCAAATTCCTTTCAATACAGAAGAGGTAAAATGAGGCTATCCAATCTGACTCTCCATTTCCTAGATATGCTCATCTACTGCATGGCAGGAACACCTTCACTGATAAGACTCGTTTGCCTTCTTTGCAGATGATATCTTTTAATAGTATGGTGCTTTCTATGAGGTGGACATTTGCCTGGAAGAAGACGAGTCAAGACAAACCAGTTGTTTAACAAACCATAAACTTCCTTTCAGTCATCATAATTTAATTCACTAACAGCTCAGACTTGGTCAAAAATCAAGAAGAAGGGCTTCCTCTCTCAAAACAAGTCTGCTGTTAATTCCCTTTGGTTAGGAATACTAACAGGATTGTTCTAAACTGCTGAATACTGCAGGATGGTTATTTTTACTGGAAGTACTAAATGTCAACTTCTGCTGTATGCCCACTTAATGTGCAAATGGTCAGGACACAATACAAATGGATAAAATAAATTTGTTCTGAATTTTCAAACATTGTTCTTAATGATTTTGACACTGTCAATATGCACAACTGAAATGTTTAAAAGCATGAGCTTAAAAGCAAGGGCACATGAGCTAATGATGTGAAACAGTGTCTCTGTCCTTTCCTAAGCACCCATCCTTCCATGTCTTCAAATGGGTCTTCTACTAAGTGAAACTCAGGAAAAATTGAAATGATTATAGGAAATCTCTCCAAAAAGCAACAAATTATGATGGAGGCAAGAACAATCGTTTTGGCTTTTTTTTTTTTTTTTTTCTCCCCTCTAACACAAGCACTCAGCTATTACAGACTTGAAATTATATTGAAGTTATTTTAAAAATAATCAAAGGAAAAACACAATACTTTGTTTTTATGTTTCCTCTGGTACTGTGGGTTTTTCCCTGCCATGTCTCAGATGAGAGAGTAAAACAGAAAATGGGCGTATGTATCAGCCACTGCTTCATGACAGGATACACATACAGTTCTTTGACTTACTACCCCTTATATTCCCACTAGACCACTGTGACAATTTAGTAGTTTATTTCTGTGGAACGTTTTTGCCCACTTAAAAAAAAAATCTGTTTGAAAACATTTATCCAATTTTACTTCTTGTGGGTATCAACACAAAAACTAAATATTTCCTACCAAAATGGCATTTTGTTAATGACTTCTCTCATAATTGTCTCTGTGATCCCATTTTCACCCAAGAAGACATAATGAATTTGCATCCTTCAGATAGTCTTAGGCACATGACATTAATTAATCTAGGAAACAAAACAATAGGTTGATTCCCTCCAACATAAGCTCCCATTCTTCTCACTTTCAACATGTCGGTTAAGGAGATGGAAGCTTTTCAGCAACTTCTGACACTAACAGGAATTACACTAGAATAGCAGTAACTTTTTAGGAGTAGAAAACATAAGAAAGACACTGCTTTACTTAAGTCTACACTGTCATTGGAAAGATGACAAATTTCTACGTGCAAATAGATTTGACGGTAAATATTTGTTTTTCAAGTGTGTCTAAATCAACTGTATTGGTATATGTCATGACTGCAATAACTCAGTAATCCAGTGCAAGTCTGTGAAAACAGTCCTGATTTAGTTTTAATGGCAATAACTGTTGTTATTTAATTCTATTTAATGAGCACTGAAGTAAAGTTAGTTAGTCTGATGTTAGACTAGCATTAAAGCACATCGGGAACTGATCTGCAATTTCTTACGCAGTTCCCTCTGCTACTGACATTGTAAACAGCGCTCCTCTCTTTTAATGAGATGCTTGCCAATAGCGGTCCAAATACAAATGCCAGATTTTATTAAAATCTTCACTTTCAAATATTGTGACAGTTTGCACAGTTAGTTATCGAAATACGAACTTTCAGATCCCTATGTGGAGCAGAGGGATAATGTATTATCCTATTGACTGGCCGACCACTTGGATTTTTTCTTGCTCCTCACAGGGGATATTCAATTGTCTTTTGATGAGGCTGTAGAATTTACAATACTCTCTTACAGCCATCACTAACAGTTTATCCTTAAATGAGACTGCCCTGACATATTGACCTGTGGAGTTTACAGAGAAAGTGAGTATAAAGCAGTCAGAAGCAGTAGACTGAAACAGTTACAGAGGTCAATTTCACCTTACAACACTTCACAGCTCAATTTCAGAAACAACAAGGAGTTCCACACCAGACACTTCCTGCCAACACCAACGAAGGCAGTGTGCTTCTTTTCTTGTCCCTGGGGAATAATTGGCTGGTTTGGCTTTGCCAGAACACAGATGGTATTCTAATGCTATGGATGGGTTAGGAGGTAAGAGGGAGAGAGGCTGCTTAACAACCGCAGCAGCTTTTACTCTTCTTGAATACAACAATTTAGTTTCACGGTCTCAATTACTGTGTGTAACAGCCATAAAAGCCTAACTACAGGAAAACTATAATGTACCTTTTGGTAAGTAGTCCCCACGGCTTCCAGTAAATTTGGAAGGAGCTACCACTTCCCAGTACATCTAGAAAAGTTAAGATGTCACTGCGAGCTTGCCAGTGCATTGTTTAAGTTTGGGCCAACAAGGTAAAGAGACTTTTAAAGTCTGAGAAGCAATGACATGTGATGGTAAAATGTCACAACAGGACTGCCAAGGTGCACGTATGCTTGGCACCTTTTGAAAGATGTGTATTAAAATCAGGTCCAATAAAACTATTTCTGGCAAATTAAGTTATTCAACCCTTTCAGACTTTTTACTGGTTTGCTAGCTGTAAGTGAACAGACTTTCATAAATATCCTTATTCATTATAAAATCTTGAAAGAACATTTTGGAAATATATACTGTTTGCAGACACTTCAACTACATCTGTGACTTTTTGTCATCGTTATTATTTTGTGATCTGAGCTTAGTGAACTGCGTCACAGATTACCTCTTCCAGCTTAAAATGAAACAGGCTTTTAATAGATGATCTATGAAAACTATCAGCACAGTTGTAAATTGGTTTTGACTGTCTCTGCTTACAAGTATGGTTAAAGATTATGTTAGGAGCCTGTTTCCCTCTTTCGCTAAGCACAAATAGGTTAGAAAAGCTGAGTCATGTGATCCTTACTAGATTTCAAATAAAATGAAAATCATATCCAGTGTGTACAGATTCTTTTCAAAAGCACACACCTAAGCCTCATTTGCAAAACTAAAATGTTCATACGATGAGCTGGTTAGTGACAATATGGTCTAGTTAATTGTCAGTAGTACCTAATTTCACTTGAAGCTAATGTTAAAAGCAGCAGTCTAGCTAACTATGAGAAAGTCTAATATTTTGGATGCTGACTGGTAACTCTGAGTAATCACTCATGTTATTCCTGGACAGTACATCCTGCTGTTTCGCTTGAACAAATAGTATTCTAGAGTGCCTACAGGAAGGGAGGCTGTCAGTAATTTTTCCAGCCATGCAGACTAAAGTGCTAGAAACCAAAAGTCTGAGAAATGCCAAATATATATTTAAAGTTTATGTACATTTAATCTCATATCAGTGCTCAGTTTTGTACTCAGGAATTCAGATAAGTAGTGCAGTATGAAAATGAGGCTGCTAGAGTCACAGCTGGATGTATCTACTCTGCAGATATCCAAGTATGCTGAAAATACGCTATGCCAAAAATCAAATTCCAATGTGCAAATCTTGTCAAGTTTTTCTTACAAGTGGTATTTGCTTTGCAGTTTTTAAATCTCAATGCACTAACCTTCCTAATCAGTCTAGAGAGTGACGCAAAACAACTTGTTTACAGCTTTAAGTGACAAAAATTGCTCCCAAAAATGACCATATGAGAAATGAGGAAAAAAAGGGAAAATGGTACCCAAATCACCTAACATATTTCAGCACAAATAGTTATTCAGAACTTTTTACAGTTGGGCTGCCCAGGTGTTAGATCTGAATGAAGTCAATCGTTCTAACACAATCTGACCTTTGTTTACTGCTGGTAGAAAGTACACCCCTAGGGTTTTCCTAAAAACAACAAAAATTTTAGAAAAAGAGAGGAAAAGAGAGAAATTGACATTTTATTTTAACCTTATGTGAACTAATGCAATCCTGTGTTAACTTACCCTTGCATCTGTAACCTTGAATTCCCTCAGAATATACTGTGGCATGTTGTACTCTGCCATTGGATCTACGACAAAATACTGGTATCTGGCTGAGCGCTCCGCAGGCCAGTACTGGTGGCATTTTTCCTACAAAACAATGAAGCAAAATACATTTCTTGTTACTCCAGACCACTACCATAAACTGGTATGAAGTATTTTTCACCCAGTTAAGCATAATACTAACAAAAACTGCCATTAGTGACACAAACATGAACTGTTTGACTTGCTGTGAACACGAAGTTCCATACTTAGAATAAAAAAATATCTTCAATATTGCATTGCAAAGGGGTCATCTCTGTTTGCTGTACTTCTGAATCAGTTATACTTCTGCTCAGTTCTACTACTTAATAGTGACAAGAGCTATCCCTAGCTGAATTTTCACTACAGAATAGAATTTAAATCTTGAGCCCACCTTCAGTTTTCTGTCTTCTTCGCTGTTGAAGTAAGTCCCCCTGGCCTCAGTAAAGACTCTAACTCTGCATCCACTAGCTATGTCCTGAATTATCTGTATTCCTCAGATACATGGTCTCACTCAGATTTCATTTATCACACACCAGCTTTATCTTGATGTAATCCTGTCCAGATAGTAAACTGCTTCGTCCTTTCCATTACACAAAGCAGCACTTGAATGAGTTTAGGACTGTAAACTGGCTGCTGAAACTTTAAAGTTCAGCTCTATGAACACACCAAAAACAGATCTCAAAAATACCACACTTTCTTTTAACATTGTTAAAAAAAGATGCTACAAAAGAGATCTTAATTCTTCAATGAAGCATCAACGATCTCTCTGCATACTTTGTAATATCAATGTGCAAACTCAGTCGAATCTCAGTGTGACCCACAACAAAATGACATTTCTAGCTTGTCTATTGCAGCACATATGCAGATTGGAAAACCTTACACCTGGTGATCAACAAGGCCACTGATATTTCAAAAGGAGAAGGAACCTAAATCCTTACCTTTATCTTTAGACACTCCCATAACAACAAAATATTTTAATAAAATTAATTCTAACAAATACTTCAGTAAAGGAATATTACAGATGTACTCACTCTGCCCATTTCTCGTAGCTTAGTGAGCATGACCACAATTGTAGAGTTATGCTCCCAGAGCATTCTCCAGAAGTCTTCAGTTGTTTCTGCTAAAGGACCCTGTGTAGCTATGTAAGCTTTTTGTTGTCTATGTTGAAAAAAGAAAAAGTTAAGAAAAATATTTTAATTTAAAAAGTGAATTGATGCACATGTTCTTTGTTTATATGTAAACATTATCTAGAGGAAAAAATTATATACTATTAATAATAAGCACATAAAAACCTTATCATGATTGTTAATCAAACTACAGCTTTTTATTTTTAGAACTTTAAGAGGGAAATTAAGCTGTTAATATTATGATGTATGTCTTTACCATTATTATTTAAATTTTAATGCACCCCTAATAGCTCAGCTTTGTGTGCTGTAAAAAAGCACTTAAGAAACACTTAGTTGGGCTTGTTCATAGAAATAACTGTCTAACAATCTATTAAGTTTAGGAATTATAGCATCAACCAGTTTCTTTATTAACTTCTTTTCAACAAACTGATGCCTCCAGCAAAAGTAAGGCAGAAAGAAAATTTGGAAATAGAGTGCATTTCATTTGCAAGAATTCATATCCTGCTACTGGAAGCTACCGCCAAGCTGTTAAAATCTTCTGGGTCAGCAGCTTTGTAAGATGATGACCAGTTCATGTTGTTCTTGCTTCTTTCATTCAACAGAAACACCCTTCTGGATGACAGTGGAGAAGAAGGCCGTTTCCAGTTATGAACAGAGGCTCAGAAAATTATCTCTGTGGATACAGATACTCAAGTACACCTAAACTGCCTTAGCAACACTATATCACTTATCCTTCATGCCTTTTTCTACCAGCTGCTTAAGTCAGCTGAGGGCGTATTGCTCCATGTTGTCATGAAGATGCTGGTGTGCTACACAACTATGCATAAAATGCCTTTGGTAGCTAGGTCTAGTCTTAACCAGTTTTCCAAGACCATAGTCTATCACCTTGACACAGAGAGTGTATCTCCTGTATGGTATTTCTACGTATCTTTTAAAGCAGAATAGTAGTGACGAAATAGCCGTTCCAAATCACACATACACTGAAAATTTCAGTAACTTTCAGCATGTAAAACACACTGGGAGTTCTCAATGGTTTAAAGGTAAGTAAAAACATAACATTTAAGCCTCTGTCATTTACAGAATTTTCCTGTTTTGCATGGGTGAAAATCTAAACCTTTTATTAATATTTAAAAAAACACCCAATCAAACATAGCATGGACAGATAATAAACAATACTAAATTTTGTTATTTTCAGCATACATAATGACATAACTAATTTTCTAAACTTTTAAAACAGTCCACATGAGAACACATCAACATCAGTACCTGTATCCATCAATGAAACTGGCATTAATATAATCAGAGCCTTCTACTCCTCGGATTGGCTGCAAGCATACCCTTGTAGACTCATATGGCATAATATTGACAAGGCGATTTTTGAATTTATTACATGGAAGATTGGCACTGATGAATCTCGAAGTGTGAGCCTTAGAGCTAGCAAGACGCTGTTGAAAATAAATTAAATAAATTAAGGCCAGGTATCACAAAAACAAATGACACTATCAGACTTGATGATCTCTGCTCATTATTCTTTAATGAATACTTTCAATTCCAGATGCTTACTTTTCCATATTCTGTTGCACTACTGAAATATTTGCAAAGCTTCTTGTAAAGTTTAATGTCTGCTCCATTAATGCATATGGACAAATTTGAGTATTAGACTGTCACACAAACACACATTTCAAGCTATTGAGACAAACGAACGAACAGCATGGTTAAACCCCCCTCAGTGAACGGTTCTTGTCCAGATACCAACTGAGGACACAATTACATATTTGACAAAGGATCACCTTCCTAATTTAAAATTTTAGCCTGCCAGTGTCTTATCTTTTGATAACTGGAAACAACTGGTGGAGGACACAGCAGCATTAAGTTTTCACAGAATCACAGAATCAC